TTTTCCCTCTATTGGTTACTTTTTCTCACTTGATCTGTGAACCAAATGACAAGAAAATGCTCCTATCAGTGTAGTAAAAAAATATATCCATAATACTTTGATTGGAAAATGTTTGCACCCTTTTGGTTTGTCTGATTTGCTTCCGAATCAGGTTGTTTGTTACCGAAATTTTGCCAAGCTGACCAGCATAAGGCTGAAATTTGGGCGTCCTGAAATATTTTCTATTTTTGTGAAAAATGGTTGAGCTGAATTCTCTCACCGTTCACAGGCCTATTAATAAGTGTTTGTTATGCAAATGAAATCTAGCTAATTCTGCAGTTGCTTACTCAAACACTGCTGCAGTAGCGATGTGAAGAAAAGTTTGAAATGTCTCAGGAAAGAAAGATGGTAAACCTTGAGAAAATTTCACATACTACTCTTCCCTTATGAAACCTCTTCTGATGGTGATGAGAAGCCTGATCGTGCTGCTCTGGTGTCATAAACTTGCACCTAGAATGCAACAATGGTTAAAGAGGGTTAAAGAAATCCATGCTATGTAAGCCAGAATTGTCTCTCTTACGTTGACCTCTGAAAAGTAGGTGGACATCTGGTCTCCTTGGATTCTATATATTTCTAGATAATAACCTCAAGACAACTCTTCCTAGGACCACTTTTACCATCCCTTCCCTCCCCCTTTTTTACTCTTCTCTTGTCTTCTTCTTCTTTTTTTTTTCACCTCTATTATTTCTTCTTGCCTTGACTGACACTGGAACTTTTTTGTCAGTAGTGGTGTCCTGCACTGGGTGAATGCAGTGACTTTTGAGAAATGGAATATCAATAGTTTCCAGGTGCATTTAAAACTGGAGTGTGCTATTTCAGTGGGGATGTACAACCACACATGTTCTTAGAACTTTGAGATTTTTTTATTTTTTTTTATTTTGTAGTGCAATATTGTTAAATAAAGATAGTTTTTTTGTTTTTTTTTAAGAAAGGTTGGTAGATAACCCATAGGTGCACAAGGGGTCTAGTATAAGGAAATACATTTCAAATTATATACTCCGACATAGGAATCAATGAACTTACAACTATGTATGGTATTTAGCCATACCTGAAGCCACAGAAGATATATTGAGGAGACGTAAGTAGAGCGAAATATTAAACAAGAGCAGGTCCAGGGTGTGAAAGAATGCTCAGATTAAATAGGGCAAAAGGAGGCAGGTACATGCAGGCCTCCAAGTCTAGGGAATAGCATATACAGTCCCAGTATGTCCTGATGGGCAAAACATAGCACAGCACAAATTATCACAAGGAGGAAGACCCATAAGTGAACAGTTCTGCACAGCATAGGAAAAAATAAGGATGGTGTTTTAATTGCCAAAGTAAGAACAATTTATTTGGAGGCTCGAAGGGTATAGTAGAAGTTCTCAAGGTGCCTAACTCGACTGAGAGACCCTTCAGAACACGGGATCGGCAAAAAGAGAACATTGCGTGTGCCGTTGATTGGGCCAAGGTTGCTAAGATACATATGTATTTTTGAGGATGTCAGCCCCATGGATAATAGATAGATAGATAGAAAAAAATATTTTTGAATATGTCATGTAAACAAAAATCTATTCTTTTTTTTTCAGTAAACTAGGGTAGTTCTGTGCACTAAACTTTTTTATCACACATGACACATTAAAAACATTAACCAAAATTAACTTAAATATTCGGTCAATTAAAAAAATCAGTTAACCAAATAAGGCACTACTATTTAGCAATGTAAAAAAACTCCAAAATTGTATTGCCCTCATTCTTCTTGCAGTAATGTACATTTTGTTAAATCTAAGAATGGACCACTAAAAAAAAAAAAAAATATGTTGATGCACTAAGCAACAGTCAGCTTAACATATGGGATGTTGTTGACAGAAAAAAAATAATGATCACAAATTGTCAATTTCTTTTGGCTTTGCAAGGTTTTTTGACTTTTTGTTGCAAGTTACATGCAATACATTTTTACTTAAATTATCGAAATGCCTTACTTTTATATATTTCAATCAAATCTGCGATGATAGAACCATGAAAGTGAGATTTCATGCTTAAATTGGAATTTTCTAAAGTGACTAAAAGTCCTTGACACATCTGGATACAGAAATTAAGAATATAGGACAGTGATATAGGGTAAGATTTGTCTTCCATTTTTGTATGGCACAAAACTGATATATTCTGAGATCCTGATATGTGAGGTAGTTAGATTTAGGGAGCTGACAACAGACTCATAAATTTTAGTCCAAAAAAAAAAGAAGCAAGTTAGAAAAAAATTCTGTTTTGGCCTACATTTTCAGGTTAGTGATCATCACAACGTAAATCGCTGTTTAGTGAATAATCCCCTCCTGTGTTTTGTTTTGTTATTTTTGTTTTTGCTTTTCTTTGTTTTCTGCAGACATGTCATGGAATGGGCTATCTTTTGGAAATTGGTTATTCCTTCACTGCAAGTTGTTTATTTCAACAATAGACCCACAGTTATAACTCTTATTTTAATATACAACAAAAATGTTTCAGAAAACTACTGTGCTTCTAGACTTCTAAACTTCTAGAAATAATTTGATCCTGTCTGACATGTGACGGATACTGGGAAAACCTGATACTATTTTTATTATTAAGGATTATTTTGTTGATTTATTAATAAAGTGTACTTTAGAGTGAAGAATCTCTCTGACAATGGTAATTGGTTGGAATAGATTGGTTATGTAAAGGAATATACACAGAAAACAAGTAAAAAGTAGGCGCTCGTAATAGAATCGTCTAAAATAAAACAAAACAACCTGTTAATATAAAAAAGAGCTGCACCAAAAACAAGTGTAAAACTCCTCCAAACACTTTAGTGAATATACTTAAAAATAATAAGGTGCGCTGTGTCTTTAAGACCCAAAAATATATAAAGTGCAACTAAGTGCAAACAAATTGATAAAGTGCAAAGTGATACAAAGTGCACTTAAAGTGTAAAATATCAGTATAAAATATTATACATACATATGGCCTCTCAACTCCGAATATACATAGAAAGGAAAAGAGACATAAAAAAACCAATAGTGTAAAACCGTATTAAAACAGTAGTATAGATAATAAATGCCAAATATTGCACTCACAAAAGTAGAGCAGAATAAGCCTGCTCTAGCTTTAACAGCTTCTTCAAATGTAGGACTGTACTTCTGTGCAGTGATGTTGGAGCATTATTCTGCTCTACTTAGTGCAATATTTGGCATTTATTATCTATACTACTGTTTTAATACGGTTTTACACTATTGGTTTTTTTATGTCTCTTTTCCTTTCTATGTATATTCGGAGTTGAGAGGCCATATGTATGTATAATATTTTATACTGATATTTTACACTTTAAGTGCACTTTGTATCACTTTGCACTTTATCAATTTGTTTGCACTTAGTTGCACTTTATATATTTTTGGGTCTTAAAGACACAGCGCACCTTATTATTTTTAAGTATATGTAAAGGAATAGTTATTCACTAAACTGTAATTTGTCAGGAATTTAACGCAAATGTCAACTCTTAGGCCAAGATATTTTAAATCTATCCAGGTTAGCAGCTTTTTCATTTGGGCTATTTTGCACTTCTTCTGTTATTATAACAATTAGATTATTAGTAATTGTATTATACACTGATTATACACTAGTATTACTAACTCCTCTATGACATGGGGTTAGACAATTCCCATTAACCATAAAAGTCCTGCAAATTCACCTATCATAAAAGTGTTAATATGTTATTATTATTATTATTAATGTTATTTATTTAAGGATTTATTTATTTGTCAAATTGTATCTTTTTGCCATTTTCTCATTATAAATAATTCTCACAAGTAAGATTAATTCTCACAATGGTGATTTATAAGTACATACAAAATTAACTGACATTTAGAGCAGTTTTTTTTTTTTCCATTATAGTGATAAGAATAGGAATTGGGTATGGTTTGGAAGATACCTTCAGCCCAGTTTATTTATTGGAACCTGCTAAAAAAAAAAAAAAAAATTATAATATATATATATATAATATATATTAACAAAACAGTCAACCTGTAGTGTGTGCAGCATACACCATGTCTGTGCAAATGTAAACTTAATACACAGATGCATTCAAGCAATAGTAACATTGCAATGTATTTTTTTTGGTTTCAATTTCAGAAACACACTTGTGTGCCTAAATCTATTTTTATTATTATTATTATTATTATTATTATTATTATTATTATTATTGGGGAGTATTCACTAAGCAGTGAGTTTAGTGAGCTAATTATTGACTGGCGAAACCAGTCAAACCTGCTGAATTAGAGGTTAGTTTATCCAAAAAATGTACATGTTTGTTGGAACTCGCCTGTACTCGCTGCTAAGTAAATAAAACCCATAATTCTTATTGTCACTGCACACTCTAACGTGTTAGAACACAGTTAATCTTAACACATGAATTAGAACGCTGGTGATACTAATGTCTTTGCAATGGCATGTTTAGACCTTTTGTATAATCACTAATGTTACTCTTGAATCCTGCCTAGAATTTCTCACATTACAAGATCTGTAGTCAGCAGTAAATGCTTTGCCAGGGAATTTAAACGATTATTTGCCCAATTCTGTCATTCTAATATCTTCAGTAAAAACTAACCCACACTATTTGTTACAGTGAAAAGTAGCTCTGCCTGATTGTATTTCAGTCATCCTCTGTGTGCCCAAGACATTTCTGCTAAAATACAAATATAAAAATATATAAATATTTATCAAGCAGGGTCAGCAAAACGCCAAACCCTTTGTGTCTACACATTCATCTCCTGCAAATGAAATGAGACACCTCATCAGAACTATTAAAGTCAGGAGATGCTAAAGCTGTGCACAATCTATAATGTGCTAACATGTGCCTTTGGCAATACATTGCAAAATAACCCTAATTGCCCCCCTTGTACCCTTACTAAAGGGTAACACAGCATTTTTACATGCTCATGTCTCATTAAATAAAGATTATATAACAACCAAGTGGTTTGCAGAAAATAAAGCGATTTATTGTCAAAGCATCCAACATACCCAGATAAACTATAAAGTTTAATAAATCTTTTTTGTTCTTGATAATCTTTCAGATGGGGGAGGTGAGGGTAAAGGAGTAAATGAAAACAAATATATATTTATATACTTCAATTCACTTGCACAAAATTACACTTTGAATTGTAAAGGAAATACACACTGGTAGATGGTAGATTCTTCTGACTGAAGAAATTGGTGTAGTGGATGATGCATTGTCCATGCAATCCTTCAGTGACCAAAAAGAAATGTCCTTTTTTTTCCATTTTAATATTCAATGTTTTTTGGTAAAGACATGAAAGTGTCATCAGTTAATGTACCAACAAACTATGCCCATCCAGGTATTGTTTTTTTTTTTTTAATCCAAAATACATATAGTAATCAGTCGTTACAACTAAACCATAAGTGCTTCATAATTTAAGTAGAAAGATATGACAATTGCATCAATATGCTGCAATATATATTTATATATTTATATATATTTATATGACATTTTAAAAATGTACTTTTGGAAAGTGAAAATGCGTGCATTCAAAGAGGACCCACACAGTTTTAGAGTTGGGGGATCAGAAGTCCTCAGTTGTTAGTGTGCGAGAATATTTAGAGGTCCACGTTCTAGAACAGCGGTGGTTGTGTGTTTGACTCAACCACTGCTCTTGAACTTCAAGTCTTGGTTCCAAAGCAAAGGGATACATAATGACCATCCAAGTTCTTAATTTATTGTCCACTGGGATTTAATTATGGGATGTCATATGCCTGGAGAGATGGTGGCGTTCCCTGAATGACTCGTTGCATATAGGACACTTAAGTTTCTCCTCTCTCCTCCTCTTCACCAGAGGTTCCATTGCGTATTCCTTTTTGTGGTGAGACCGCATGTGATAAACCAAATCTGAGGTCATCCTGAAAGAAGCGTTGCATTTGGCACACCAGTTTTGTGCAGGCAAACACAGGGAGGTAAAAGAAGGGGGGAGCAAGGTCAAAGTGGAAGGCAGCTGCAGCTGGAGGGGACCGGCTGAGCTCTTTGGCCAGAACGTGGTGGCAAACAAAAAGGGGCTTTGCTTTGGTAAGGTGCCCTGTAGAGTGCAGTTGCCATTTAATTCGGATCCCTGCAATTTGACAGAGAGAGGATCCGATGGGAAGAGTCTGCCCCCACCAATGCTGTCTGTATGGCAATCCAAATTTACCCCACTGGAGACCAGCTTCTGTCCCATTACCTGCAGTGGAGACACATGACTGAAACTGCTCCTTGTTGGCTGGGAAAATGCGCTTTTTCTTTCCTGATCCTGGTTATTCATCTGGGGCACACTATTAAAGGCACTACCAAGACCAGAGGTCTCCTCTACCTGGTTTTCTGGCCTGGCATGCAACCTCTTGTCCTCAGTTGGGCTGCTGGCATGGGATGGAGAAGCTGCTTTATTGTCTGAGTCCAAGTCATTCTCTGCCACACCCCTGGAGGCTTTTTTAACCTCCACGAAAGCGCTCCTCTTGGCCTCTCCTGTTTCTGGACTAGGAGGGGCAAATAACTGTCCACCTTCTTCTAAACTGTAGTAAGAACTTGCTCGGAATGGCTGAGGGCTACATACTAAGTCCTCTTTGGAAGAAGGCATTGGTCTGTCCAAAAATCTTATCGAGGCATCCATCCTTCTGGACCTATTTTCCTCAAGTAAGTCATCATATTTCCTCTTGGCTTTGTGGTGGCTCTCAGATTCAGAGTCCTGGCGTGAAAGGTTGGCCTTAGGAGAAGGTGAAGAGCTGAAGGAGGAGGAGGAATGTCCTCTAAAATTCTCCATGTCCCTGGCCAGGTTGTGAAAGTCTGTGGTGGGCTTGTGGTTCTCCTTCTGAGGTTGGTAGAGGCTTAATTTGCTGTATTTGGCTGGGCTTATCAGGACATTTCGAGGCTCCAGCTCTCGGTTCTCCTTGCACACCTGCTCAGAGTTGGAGTCCATGTTGTGAACCCTCTTGGGACAGCGGAACCTCACATGGGCCACGTAAGGAAAATCATACTGGAACCTCTGGCTGCAGTCCTGGCAGGTGAGCTGAGAGGAGGAGCCTGTTTGGGCAAAAGAAGAAAAATCTTTCAGATAACAGTATAACATGACATGTAATATGTGAAATGCAACAGCAAAATATTAACATCAATCACACCAAACTTTGGAATTATACTTCAGATATCTAGAGAAAAGAATCCTGGGCAGTTTGTGACTGTAAGTCCATGCTCAATAAGTATGTTACAGCATATAATATAAAATAAATAACTGGACGAGATGTGCTTCAACCTTATTTTTCTTATACGTCTTTTATTTTATATTCACAGCGTGGGAACTGAGGGGCTTTTAGAGTTCGGTGAATCGCAATAGTTTTTTCTCTGTAAATCTCTACTCTAATGTTAATATTCAGTTAGTGCTATATTCTACAATTGCAACATTTTGAGGGAACGAGGGGAGGAAGGAAAGGGAAAGGGAAAGGAAAAGGAAAAGGAAAAGGGAAAGGTAAGCTTTCCGTGCTCCGTCTGCCAGGACAAGCAGTCATGTTAGGAGAGTTTTTCAACCTACCAGTGTTTTTTCCAGATGTCCTGACTTGGCTGAGCAGTAGGAGATCAATCAGTTCCTTCCCGTACCAGACCAATAACTCCTCGTCCTTGGCGATCCTGCGCAGGGAGCGGTAGAACAGTTGCCCATTCTTGATGTAAGCCTCCAGATTCTGCTCCTCTTTGTTCCTGGCAGACTGCACCAGACGGAGCCACATCAGCCCCTCGGAGGAACCGTTAGCAGCTGAGGTGTCCACCTGCAGAGAAGACACGGATAACAGAGGCACAAGATGGTTAGATAGTCACACAAGGCAGGGGAGAGCCCAATGCACAACGGAGCTTTATTATGGACAAAACCCATCAAAAGCAATGGAAATCTCATGTCCAAGACAATCACACAGCCCTGGCATGACAGCCCTCCATATGGTCCCTGTGAATTGTCAATTCTCTGGATCCCTAACTCCAGACTCTTATTAGAATGTCGAGTTCTTTATAACGGTCCCACGATATGTCTATCAATAATTCTAATCAGAATAAAGTAGCAGTCTGGACTCTTATATGTAATTTAGTAATATTTAATATACTATGGACTCTGCGTTTTATATGGATAATATACTAGAATTCTGGCCACAGGATTATGAGATTAATTTAAAAAAATGAATATTTCTGTGACAATAGCATTTAACCACCTCCACTCTTTTTTATACAGCAGGTGCATTTTGCTAAATTACTTAACTTCTAAATTAAATCTATATCTGGATATCTATTTCTGGATAAAAAAAATAAACTTGCATTTATAAAAAAAAATCTATACTATAAATATATAAACATATCTAGGCAAAAACAAATCTACACAGTAACACTAAACACAAAAACATGAAACATCTATGCGTGCAGATAAGCTTTACATAATTGCAAAAATCATTGAAAACTGGAAATGTTATATGTGTATATATATTATATACATATGTTATATATGATATATATAACATTTCCAGTTTTTAATGATTGTATATATATCATTTATTGTTTTTTAATTCTTTTTTTAAACAGAGATCCATATACCCATTTATCACAGTGTGAGCTCTTACCCGGAATATATAGGGCACAGTCCTCTTGTCTGTGGATTTGAGTGCTATAAAAGCTATGCTGTCATAGAGTGAAGTGTGGCTCAGCACGCAGGGGCCAAAGATTGCATTCTCTGGGATATCACAGGTGGTGTATACACTTGTAAATATATCCGTCAGACACTGCTGGACAGCTTTGGCATCTCCATCCCAAATGGTCTTCTGCACTCCTGCCTCTTCCATGACTGACATATCCTGTAAAGAGCAGGGCACAGGGGGTGAGGTGACGTTTATCCCATGGAATTAGAGCATGTATCAACAAATAAACACATTCAGGGTGCACGGTGTCAATCAATAAGGGAGAGGAGCCTTAATGGATCTTAGGAACGGGTCAGCAAGGAGTACCATCCATTAACAGGAGGCATGGAATGTAGACATTCTACAACTGATATTTGAAAAACACGTCCATTCGATTATGTGGCTGATAGAACTCATTTACAGTAAGCACCGAGGCTGTCCTTAGTAAATTGGGTCCTGTCTGGGACCTAGGACAGTGTGTCAGAGGAGCATGGAGAATGGATTTCAATGGACTGTCAATGTCTGTGATTTAATGTCATCCAACCTTTGGCTTCTAGTCTACAAGAGGGAACGTATGTCTGCTCATTACCATAATCCAGCTCTTCCCCTCAGAGACTTTAATTAAAAGCAGCAAGCAGAGGTAATTATTTTTTACCTCGACACGCTTATTTGTGGATGGGGGTGAGTCCCAGTCATCATGTCATACACGGGGGTAGATGCAGTCACATGCGTCTTTACATGAGCCATACAGCTCAGCTCGTTTAGCAATAACTAAGCATCATTGAATATTTTACAAATAACATATTACTAATTACATCATCATTATCAATTATAATTATATTACTAATATATACTATACTGCATATACTATATTTTTATTCGCATTTTCTTCTGAATGTAAAGTTCTGAAACAATGCATATGTCGAACACTTTAAATCCCACAAGACTAAAGTTTAGAATTTCCACTTATTGTTATTTAAAAAAATTAACACAAATTTTTTAAAAAAATATGTGTACTTTAAATGAGCGTGTCAACTATTCTCGGCGCCTCAGATGCATGTTTAATTAAAAAAAAATACAGAAAATAAACATAATTCTGAATATAAAGATAATTCGAAATATTGATATATTATATCAAAATAATATATATATATATATACCTGTATATCGAAAAGCAAAATAAATCTGTCACATGCTATATGGGATTTATATAAATATACATCACTTTTCCCCTGTATTACTCAATCTTAGAATAAATACTAAGGAGCTAGGGGTTGCTATGACTTGTATGGTATATATGAACATATAGTATAGGTTCCTTTGCATATACCTCCCTGATGAACCTTGGTTGGGGACAGCAACTCAGGACACATGGCGATGATACGTATGTATCCTAACAGAGCAGCGATCTCATTCTAGAATCTCTAAATTAACAATAGCAACATTTATACAAAAGAATAGTCAAAGCTCTCTAAGCTCTCTCTCAGACACCCTGATAGCTGAAGAAACAGGAACAGATTAGTATACTGCTTATCCCTATTTTCGAATAATCAGTGCCCACTCTCCCCAACAAATCTAAAGGCACACACTGACTAATTGGGGTTAGAGTCCTTCCATTGCCCAGAGCAGTCCCAAGCATTGTGTGTCTCTCATTGAACATCACATTTAGGCTCTCCCTGTTCCCACTCCTTGTCATTAAATCCGTCCTGCAGGTTCAGAGCATTTCCCAGCTCAGAGAGACACATGCATTCTCACTTACCAGAAATACTCCTTGGATATATTCCTATGGATATGAAAAATCACAAAAAAAGGGGCAACTTGGCCAAATGTCTTCTCCTGGTGCCCCCTGCTTATTGTGTCCACTGTATTTCCATGGAGAGACAGGGATGGAGTTGCTGCCTTTGCCTGTGCTTCTAGATAGATTGGTAGACAGATGAATGGGAGGGAGGGGGTGGAAGGAGTAAATACAATCAGGAAGAGAAACAGAAAAGAGGGAGAAGTGGAAAAAAAGAATAAAAAGGAGGAAGACAAGGAGTTGTGCAGATGGACCCGATGCAGTGACTGACTGGCATACAGACACACACTTTTTGTTTGCAGCATATAATCTGCCCAATGACGCGTGACAGCCCACATCCCCTCCCTTTAACTCTTTCCAGCCAAGTCAATCCTTCCCTACTCAGCCCCTGCCTATGGCTATGTCTGAATGCCTAGAACGGGCGATTTAACCCCTCGTGCACTCTGAATTTAGCAGAGTTCTGGGGACTATATGGGGTTATTTAGGGTCACCATGTCCTTTGTGTGATTTTTGGATTAATGGAAATATTGAGATGTTTTTATTTTAAAAAGGAGTTAAAAAAAAAAAAGAAAATCCACACAAACATCATCAAACTGATACAAGTGAGTTGCCACCAAATGTGCTGAAGAAAATAGATCCCATGTGAAATCAGAAATGAAGGTGTCAATTAGTACAGCACTGAGCACTAAAGTGTACAGCACTGAGTATATATTATATAGTGCTTACACTGTGCAATGCAATATACAGCACTCACATTTAGAAGATATGAGCAGATTACTCTGGGGATGTTTAGAACTAGAATGTGATATTTGTATCCAACTTTGTTATTATTTATCTGCCAGTTCAGTGTAAACCTATTAGATTTACTAAGCAGAGAATAATCAAAAAGAGCTTTAGTCACTTGGTGACAAACATCTTCCATTATTATTTTTTGTTGAATTTCCTGATGAATAAGCCACACAGAGAAATTTGTAATCCGCTGAACATGCCCCCATTTTATTTAACTCATTATATCTCATCTCTACTGGGTTGAAATCAGTGAAACTATGCAAATCTCATCCAGCATTAATTGCATCTCACACTCATTCTTATCTCCCAGCTTCTTTCTTCTATTAGGTACCATTTATGTATCGTACAAACGTGTAATCCTGATGAAGACATTGTATTTGTGATCGAAACGTCAGCTGGCCATTTTCCCTGACCTGTTCACTTCGTTTAAGGTAGAGAGGCGAGTTCTCTTCTTAGCATGTATCCATGGATAAGGAAAATGAATTTCACATAACTTCCCATGTATTCAGAGATTTTCAGGTCACAAGTAAGGCTGATGATTATTTTATTATCACTTTAGCCTGGCTTCCACTGAATTCTCATCGAGTTTCCTCAAGTGTAATCTTATGTTAATGTACAATGTACCAGGCTCCTCCACTAATGGAATGAAGCCATTAAAGCTATGTGTGTACTTTTTATGACATTTTAAGGGATCGCTTGTACCCATTTAGCTGTGGGTAATTGGTACCCACAAGTCTACAGATACCTTCCATTTCCAATTCTACTGAGTACAGGATGCCAGATACCTTAACACCACTTGCACTGATTGCTGCAGTGTAGTAATTAAAAATTATATTTTAGACAAAGGAAATCTACTTAAACGTCTACATGTATTGGAGACACCTAGACGCTTTCCTTAAAGGTTGTATGGTCAATTACCAAAGCACATCATCAACAGTTATTCCCCAGCTCCACATTAAAAAAAAATAAAAAAAATCTCCCTGCTCATTAGATATATATAATATTATATATATATAGTCAACGTAATAATAGGTCTCCAGGCGGTAGATTAGAACAGAATTGTTTTAGCATCCCCTCTTATATTAACTCAGATTCATCCCTAAAATAGGCGATCTATTTAATATCAATTTAAACTAGTATGAGAGAGCCGATGCTTTTTCAAATGGTGTTACATTTTGTATTGTACTTTTGTGTTTCTGTGTGTTTTACCGGCAGATAAAAAAAAATAAAAAAATTATTTTGAGGTTTTTTTCACAAATCAGCGAATTGCTTATTAATTAGCGAATTTAAATGACCCCCGATTTATATTATTCACAAATATTGACCAGTTGGGAAAATCTTGTAACTCGACTGAATGGAGATTTTTATTTTACAAGGCTTCAATGTAAACGCTGTAATTCGGTAGTGTGTGTGTGTGTGTGTATATATATATATATATATGAAAGAATACATACAATCACAGAAAGAATAGAGTATATATTACACACATACACACACACACATACACACACACACATATATATACCCACATCAATCAAATATTATGAATTTCCTATATCAATATCTTGCGATGCTCAGAGTTCAGGTAGTTTTGGCGATATGAACAGATAGTACATAGGGTGTAAGGTTTGTTTGGTGCCAGATCAATGTAAGTTAGCTTAAATCTCCAATAGAAAGTTATTAGGGATTTAGCTACAACCAAAGACAATAAACTATTGTGTCCCACTGCAATTTATAGTAAGCGGATTATAGAGTGATAATAATGACAGCTCCCCTAATTCTCTCCATAAAACAGATACTTAGACTATGTGGGTGCACAGACTTATTCTAGGATACGATAATGCAGGGAAGGGGTTGGATAAACCAAACCAGGAATGAAGATATAGAATATCGTTTAGTAAACTACAATCAGATACCCCGTCATTGCATTCATTAATGACATCTTTATTATTAATTCTAAGTCATATATTGTTAAAACACCATGAATGCAGGTTTAACCTTTTCAGGTCTGCAGTGAAAGAGTCACGGTGAGATGACTGAGACTGTATTGTATCTTACGATGCCCAACTTAATAACAACATTTAATATGAATTCTGCAATAACATTGTTTGTATCTGGATGACACAATATGTGACTGGGGGTTCTCCCTGTGTGAGGGGTAGGATATTTAAACTGTGCCCTTATACATGAGATCACAAGTGTGCACATTTAACCCTCTCTGATGAGCAATATAAGGGGCTATATATATATATAACCCATGACATCTTTAACAGTAATACGACAATGAATGAATTAATGTTGAGTAACATTATACAAAATAATATTCCTGCTTAGTGTATAAAAACCATGTATAAAACCCTGTGTAGGATTATGACAAGGCAAATGATAAACCGTATAGAAAATGTGTCTATATGATAAAGATTGGTGTCTGTATTAGGTATAGATTTATTATATTGAATGCATTACTTTTTTATAACAAGAAGAAATCACCAAGAACATGCAGTGCTCCTAGGACCGTGGTTATGAAAGTGTTAATTTTTTGGTAAGCACTTTTTAGCATACAGACCTCTTACAGTGATATAAGTTATTCATTTTTAATTCAAGGATAAAAATACAAAGAATAACGCCATAATATCGGACCACTACATTTTAATGATACTAAGAGCATTAATCTTTCTCACACTGATTATTTCTGTTCTATCTATCTATCTATCTAACTATCTATCTATGTCTGTCTATCATTTATCGTCTGTGTCTTTGTCTGTCTGTGTCTCTGTCTGTTTGTCTGTCTGACTGTCTCTGCATCATTTGTTTGGACAATGTAATATAATAGTGTAATGTTAGTACAGTTTTAGTGTAAATTATTAAAAGCAGTATTCCAGTCTAAGTAGATTATATATATATGACCCGAAACACCATTAAGAGCTATTAGCAACACATGTCTCTTGATCCTTGGAATGTTTGAGTCTAGACACAAAATACACTTATGATCATTGAGTGATTAAGAAATGGTGGAATTAGTGAATATGTATGATTTGTGACTTCCAGGGTCCCTGATAAATGAGAGAGGTTTTATATTTTGTGATTATATTCCTGGGCACCACTACATGTAAAATATGGCTTATTGGCAAACTACTTTGCAGCATGGATCAAATGGAGGAAACCCTAGGGAAATTGGATGAGAAAAATTCATTGTAGAAACATATTGAATCCTACAACCTGACTGACTCCTAACACTTAACCCCCTCCTCCATTGAAAAAATGGTGATTGATAGATAGATATATGGATAGATAGATAGATAGATAGATAGATCTGTATGCACATACATATATACACACACACACACACACACACACACACACACACAATAAGCAACACTTAACTAGACACTTATAAACATTTAATTAGACATACATACAATGTAGAATTAAATTATCTGTCCATCCAGGTGTAGATTAAAAGCAATTTGATTTGTTAATACCAGCTGAAAAGAATTTGTGCACATGTTTATTACAAAGTTATCCATGTTATGTATATATATATATAATTAGCCAAATGCAAATACACTAATACATAACTAGCCAATATACTTAAACACACACAAATGCTGACAGGCATGTATTGATTACACAGAAACATATATACATGTTGACAAACATGCATAGAAACATTGACACACATAGAAAAACACACAATGACCTACAATTATAGATACATTAATACAATGTGACGAGACCAATCTCGCCACTGTGCATTGGAGGAGCCTGGTTGCCCGCCTGCTGCCTTTAGACTATGGCCCCATGTTGAAAGGCTTGATTTTCCCCTGCAAAGACACGAAAGCCGGGTCATTCGGTGCTTGCCCTGTTTGAGCGGTGATACCCCAGATAGCTATGCCATGGAGCCTATTCGTATAATGAAAGACTATGGGAAAGACTTTGGCTCCATAGCAATTGAACTGTATGTGTGTGATCTGAGCGCCATTCAGTAATAATGTGCGCTCAGATCTGAGCTATCTGGGGATATGTTGAATGTACCTGTTTTATGCAATGGCTGCACAGTTATATATTTTTATGTATTTTATTATCTTTTGCTGCCATGTGTTCAATGGAGTTTTGCCTCTGTCCTTGGAGATAATTGGATTACTTCCCAATTATCTCCAGGATAGAAGACTCTGTGGTACTGGTTTTGGGCAGAAAGGCCATGCTACATTTGGTTGCAAAGGACTATGATCTATCTTTTGAACCACTGGACCAATTTGTATGATTTTGACATATGTTTGTATTTGGAGTATGCTGATTCTGAAAATGTGAATGTGATGCATACTTTTAAGATTATGAATAATGTGGAAAAACTGTATTTCTCTGCCTGTGATAATTACATTACCCATTGTGTAAGGTAATTGTATCACAGGCAGAGGGGAGGATTTTGTGTGGGAGTGTCTGAGTGTATTGTACGTGTTTATTGGTTGTTTTCCAAAA